CCCTCCCGCCCCCCGCACATTCTCCACACCCCCTCACATTCTCCCCCTCCCACCCCCCGCACATTCTCCGCTCCCCCCACATTCTCCCCCTCCCGCCCTCCGCACCCCCCACATTCTCCTTATCCCCCCCCCTTCCCCAGACCCACATTAACTAGGCCGGGATCCATTCGGATCCTGCGATCGGTCGAGATCCTTGGGCCGTGGATTCTGGAACGGCCGTAACACTCATCCTTGGCGGTCACCCTCACTGTCTGCATGTGCGTGTGCGTGCGTCTCCCTCTGCGACTCTCACCCTCACCATGCGGCCCCCTCAGGCTCGCGGTTGTTTCCGGTGGAAATGGTACCCCGCCTGGCCGTTAGCGGGACTGCAGGCACTGACTTGATGTGAGTGATGTACAGCATCTGCAGTTCTTCCTATTTATTAGGAATAAAACAAATCCATAGGCACTAATCAGGGCATTAAAGATCTGCTGGCATTGACGGGCTATTTAAGGAACTGGGCTTTCAAGGGACTCTGAGCCCTGACTTGACCTTAAAGGAACTATGGGCACTGAGCAGGGATGAAAGAGACGTGGGCACTAACCAGGTTTTGACAGGACTGTAAGCATTTTCTGATGAAGGGTCTAGGCCCGAAACGTCAGCCTCTCTGCTCCTATGATGCTGCTTGGCCTGCTGTGTTCATCCAGCCCTGCACCTTGTTGTCTCGGACTGTAAGCATTTAACCAGTTTTAAGTAGACTGCCAGCACTGACCAGGAATTAACTGAACAGAGGACACTGACAAGCTATTAAAAGGACAGTGGGTACTAACCAAACATTAAATGTACTGTAGGGAACTGAAAGAGTACTAAAGAGATGGTGGGCATTTCCAGACATAAAAGGAACCATGGAAATTGACAGTGTATTAAAGGCACTGTGGGGACTAACAGATTATTGAAGGGACTGGGCACTGAACAGATATGAATGGGAACTCTGGGGCTCTGACTAGGTTTTAAAGTGACCACAAACACTGACTGGGCATTGATCAGGTATTAATTGGACTGTGGATGCTCACTGGTAATGAAGGGGCTTTCAAGTGTAACAAATTTTTCAAGGCATCCAAGACACTCACTGGGTCACAGATTGAAGTACTGTGGACACTCATCATCTTATCTAAATTCAGCAGGTCTTTCAGCAATGCCTCCCAGATCTATGTTATTTTGTCAAAAAAACTGTAAGAAATGCGAATGATGGAATCATGAACAAAAACAGAAATTGCTGGAAAAGCTCAGCATCTGTGGGGAGAAATCAGGGTTAATGTTTCAGGTCCAGTGACCTCCTTCAGAATGTTTAATTTTGTTTTCTTCTTAACTCCATTAATTATCATGCCATATTGTGAAGCTAAAGCCAAAGATCAGAGTAATATAGAAAGAGAAAATAATCAACGAGTACTGCTGTATATCTCAGTAAATTAAAGTCCAGGATTCAATCTGCCATTTCAGGTGTATCATAAGCTGTGTTGTATGTTGCATAGAATTTTAATGATCTAAACAGAGGTGGAAAATCATTTGGCTACTCCAATTCTGAAATTCCCATTGAAATACATGTATGAATGAATAAATATCACTGCTTCAGCTGCAATAGGCCCTATGTCCAAATGATCTATTGACTTTCATACTTGATTGCTAATTAGATGGAATATAAAGGGCTGTCAGTGGCTTGTGACAAAATATACCTTCCCAGAAAAGGTGGGAAGAGAAGAAAGAAATTTTTAAAATTATGAGTGACAAGATAAATCAAACATTTGCAGTGTGCTAATTAGGAGTTTAGTCTGATCATAATGGGTTTCATTACGGTAGTCAACTGTCAAATATGAATTATTTAAAAATATAAACTTAACATCACCCCATTCCACCTCCCTGTATCTACAATGACAGAAATCAGAATGAATCTGAGTCTTTTAATGAACCATGTGTCTACTGGGAAATGCAGCAGACAGCTGAAATCCGTTCAGAGAGCTGGGCACTGCGGAGATACAGTGCTTTATTTCCCCCTCCAACTCCATTTTGGTTTACTCCCTTCCCTGTCTCCCTACCTCCCCCTCACTTTCGATGGTTTGCATTGCCCATGTACAAAAAAAGTCACATGATTTTGACAGCAGGAAAGTCACTCGGTTGTGTGTGGTAAAACTTCTGGGTATGAAGAAGAAAAAAAAATACATTACTCTCAAGCATGACACAGATTGTATTATTTTACAGGGGCTCTTATGCCAGGGTCCCCACCTTTGGGCCAGGTGCCAGGGGTTCAAATCCCAATTGCTCTGAACAGTTCGAGTAAAAATCTCTACGTTATTATAATTGAGGGTTCAGCTGCCAATTGTGAAGATGTGAAGGATCCCATGGCAGCAGTTGATGGAGCAGGAGTTCGTATTGGTGTTCATGGCACCTTGTTGGAGTTCAAATTGATGTTGCATTTGCCTTCATAACATGGACACACTTCAAAAAGTACTTGAGTAATTGTGAAGTACTTTGGCACACGAGCAGGATGTGGAAATTGCATGTTCATTTGTTCTGGAAAGGAAGAGTTACCAACGTATTTTATGGGCTAGTGGGAGTTCATTTAGTAGTAATTCATGATGACAGAATTAGGTAGAATAAAACAAGTATCTCTCATTCCTCAATCAAACGCAGCTGCACATCACATACATTTTAAGTGTACTTGGTTAGCTTTTGACAAATGCAAATCACTAAAAAGCAAAATCATATAGTCCTTCCAGACTATATTAGTCTCTCTAATGAGAGTAGTTTAGTTCTCTAGCAGTGGTTTAACCTGAGGGTCACCGTGCCTTAGGTGAGGGGAGAGATTGAGAAGGAGAATCTTCATAGTAACCTCAGCAGGTACAGGAATTGAACCCACACTGTTGGCATCATCCTGCTGCACAAATTAGCCATCCAGCCAACTGTACTTTCACCACACATATGTAGGCTAAATATCTTTTGTTAGAGTTTGATTCATTTCACTTAGCCTGTCTAAATCAGCTTCACAAATTTGTTCATCTCTTTGTGTGAACACTCAAGCAACTTTGTAATCCACAAATAATTCCAACTCCAATACAGAACATAGAACATAGAACAGAACAGCACAGTACAGGCCCTTCGGCCCACGATATTGTGCCAAACTTTTACCCTAAACCTAAGGTCTATCTAACCTCCACCCCTACGTTATACTATCATCCATACGCCTATCTAATAGCTGCTTAAATGCCCCTAATGAGGCCGACTCCACTACCCTCTCCGGCAATGCATTCCACGCCCCTACCACTCTCTGAGTAAAGAACCTACCTCTGACGTCTCCCCTACATCTACCTCCACTCACTTTAAAAGTATGCCCCCTCGTATAGCTACCTCCACCCTAGGAAAAAGTCTCTGGCTGTTCACTCTATCTATACCTCTGATCATTTTGTACACCTCTACCAAGTCACCTCTCATCCTTCGTCGTTCTAAAGAGAAAAGCCCTAGCTCTCTCAATCTTTCCCCGTAAGACCTTCCATTCCAGGCAACATCCTGGTAAATCTCCTCTGCACCTTTTCCAACATTTCCACACCTTTCCTGTAATGAGGCGACCAGAACTGGACACAATACTCCAGATGTGGCCGAACCAGGCTTTTGTATAGCTGGAGCATAACTTCACGGCCCTTGAACTCAATTCCTCTATTAATGAAAGCTAACACACCATACGCCTTCTTAACAACTCTATACATCTGGGTGGCAGCTTTCAGGGAACTGTGGACATGAACCCCAAGATCCCTCTGCTCCTCCACACTGCCAAGAATCTTTCCATTAACCCTGTATTCTGCTTTCAAATTTGTCCTTCAAAAATGAATCACCACACACTTTTCAGGATTAAACTCCATCTGCCGCTTTTCAGCTCAGCTCTGCATCCTATCAATGTCCCTTTGTAACCTAGAACAGCCCTCCGCACTATCCACAACTCGACCCACCATCGTATCTTCCGCAAACTTACTAATCCACCCTTCCACTCCTACATCCAAATCATTTACAAAAATCACAAATAGGAGAACCCAGAACAGATCCTTGTGGTACACCACTCGTAACTGAGCACCTTGTTGAAAATTTTCCGTCCACTACCACCCTTTGTCTCCTAAGGGTCAGAAAATTCTGAATCCAATCTGCCACATTTCCCCCTATCCCATGCCTCCTTACTTTCTGCATGAGCCTACCATGGGGAACCTTATCAAACGCCTTACTTAAATCCATGTATACCACATCCACTGTTCTACCTTCATCCACGTGTTTGGTCACCTCTTCAAAGAGTTCAATAAGGTTTGTGAAGCATGATCTACCCCTCACAAATCCATGCTGACTATCACAAATCAAACTGTGCCTATCTAAGTGATCATAAATTCTATCTCTCAGAGCACTTGCCAATAATTTGCCCACCACTAAAGTAAGACTAACTGGCCTGTAATTTCTGGGGTTATCCCTATTTCCTTTTTTGAACAAGGGAATGACATTTGCCACTCTCCAATCTTCTGGCACTAGACAGTGAGGATGAAAAGATCATCGCCAAAGGCCCTGTGATCTCTTCCCGCGCTTCCCATAGAAACCTTGGATAAATCCCATCAGGCCCGGGGAACTTATCTACCTTCAAGTTCCTCAAAATTCCTAGTACATCTTCCTTACTAACATCCACCTCCTCTAGCCTACCAGCCTGTTTCAAACTGTCCTCCCCTACAACTAGGTCCCTCTCAGTTGGGAATACCGAAGAAAAGTATTCATTAAGGACCTTTCCTATCTCTTTAGGCTCTGTGCACAAATTTCTTTTACAATCCTTGATCGGCCCTACCCTTTCTCTGGTCATTCTCTTGTTCTTCACGCATGTGTAAAAAGCCTTGGGGTTTTCTTTGATCCTATCTGCCAAGGTTTTCTCATGCCCCCTTAAAGCTCTCCTAAGCCCTTTCTTCAGCTCCTTCCTGGCTAACCTGTATCCCTCTACAGCCTTTTCCGATCTTTGTTTCCTAAACCTTATATAAGCACTAGTCGTTCGATCTCTCTTGAGAACCAAGGTTCCTTCACTCGACCGCATCTTCCCTGCCTGTATATGTATAAAAATAGTACAGTAGTGATCAGAAGACTGTAAAATATAGGAGGAGAGTTAGGCCATTCAGTCCATCAAGTCTGCTCTGCCATTTGATCATGGCTGATATGTTTCTCAACCCCATTCTCTTGCCTTCTCCATTTAACCCATGATCCCCTTACTAATCAAGGTCCTATTTATCTCTGTCTTAAAAACACTCAATGACGTGTACTCTACAGCATTTTGCGGCAATGAGTTCTACATATTAATGGCCCTCTGGCTGAAGAAATTCCTCCTCAGCTCAGTTCT